TTTACATTTTGTCTACAGCAGCTCTCATGCTACAGGAGGAGAGTTCTGTGTCTGCCACAGAGACTAGATGGCCAGAGACAATATGTAAACAAATGCATGTGGCTGTGTCCAATAAAACTTTATTTATAAACTAATTGAGGGGCTTGGGAGTAAATAGAGCAAGAGAGTGACACTTGACAATGCATACCATTTTAAAAATTTTTTAATTTCAATTCAATTTAGTTAACATATAGTGATTATTAGTTTCAGAGGTAGAATTTAGTGATTCATCCATTGCATATAACACCCGGTGCTCATCACATGTGCCCTCCAAATGTTGATCACCCAGTTACCCCATCCCCCACCCATCTCCACTCCAGCAGCCCTCAGTTTGTGTCCTAGAGTTAAGAATCTCTTATGATTTGTCTCCCTCTCTGATCTCATCTTACTTTATTTTTCCTTCCCTTCCCCTGTGTTCATCTGTTTTGCTTCTTAAATTCTACATACAAGGGAAATCATATGGTATTTGTCTTTCTCAGATTGATGTATTTTGCTTAGCATAATACCCTCTAGTTCCATCCACATTGTTGCAGATGGCAAGATTTCATTCTTTCTGATGGCTGAGTAATACTGCATTGTGTGCGTATATATCACATCTTCTTTATCCATTCATCTGTTGATGGACATCTTGCCATAGTTTGGCTATTATGGACAGCAGTGCATACCTTTTATTTTTATTTATTTTATTTATTTGTTAGAGAGAGAGCACACGAGCAGGGGGAGTGGCAGGCAGAGGGAGAAGCAGGCTCCCTGCTGAGCACGGGGCAGGATGGGGGACTCGATCCCAGGATCCTGGGATCATGACCTGAGCCGAAGGCAGACCCCAACCGACCAAGCCACCTAGGCATCCCAATGCATCCCTTTTAATACTGATTTAGTTTCTGTGCAATGAAAATATGTTACCTATTCAGTATATTCACCATCTGGCCATTTCCAGGCACAGTTTGTGACGCCCCCAAACTAGACCGTCTGCTGTGTGAACTGGTTAATTAAAACCGACCAGAAGGTATATTCATACCATGGATGGTCATTCAGCCACGAAAAGTAACAAAACCCCATCAGTGAACCTTGAAAGCAATTATCCCAAGGGGAAGCCAGACGCAAAAGGCCACATATTGTATGAGTTCACATATATGAGGTACCTCATGGTGTCATATTGTAGAGCCCGAAGGTAGAGTGATAGATGGAGCCGGGTCCGTGTCACCATACCGTCCTGAGCCCAGCCTGTCTGCTTGTGCTGCACAGTGTTGTTCTTGTCTCCCCTGGCACTGGTGTGTCAGAAAACCCCAGTTTACTCCCAGATGCTGTACAGACACAGCAGGGGTGGGAAATGCTAAGGATCCTGGAAGCGGTCACAGACCGTCTGCCTCTCTCTTTCATACAAACACACACACACACGATATTTTAGAGTTTATCCACCCCACATCTTCTTGTACAGATGAGAAGTCAGAAGCACTGAGCGGGAGATGACTTGCCCACATTCCCACAACTGCCGAGTGATGGTACCTTGTGACTTCCAGGTCACATTTCTTTCTCTTACCATCAGCCTCTATTAATGGGTGCATCACAGAGCAGGGATGAGGAGTGAAGAGAGGAGGTGTGGGGATACTTGCTGCTGTTGGACCATGATACTGTTAGGCTGGTCAGCTTGGGCGTGTTAATTGCCTCTGTGTGCCTTGCTTTGCTCGTCTGAGAAGTGAGAATTGTTCTTACTCTAGCATTGTTGCTAAGAATGGGTGGGTCTGCTAATTGGAAAGTACATCCTTAAAACAGTTCCTGGCACATAGTAAGCATTGAGTAGACATAAGGTGCTTCTGACTTTATTATCTCCATCATCAGTATCCCCATCATCACCACCATCACCACCTTCACCACCATCACCACCATCACCACCTTCACCACCATCACCACCTTCACCACCGTCACCACCATCACCACCTTCACCACCATCACCACCTTCACCACCATCACCACCTTCACCACCATCACCACCTTCACCACCATCACCACCTTCACCACCATCACCACCATCACCACCATCACCACCTTCACCACCATCACCACCTTCACCACCATCACCACCTTCACCACCATCACCACCTTCACCACCATCACCACCATCACCATCACCACCACCACCATCATATCACCGTCACCACCATTGCTATGGACTGAATTATGTCCATCCAAAATTCATGTGTTGAAGCTTTAACCCTCCCAAGGCAACTGTATTTAGAGATAGTGCTTTTAGGAGGTAATTGATGTTCATTGAGGTCAGGAGAGTGGGGTCCTAATCTGATAGCATTGACAACCTTATAGGAAATTGATTTGTCACAGTTCTGGAGGCTGGAAGTCCAAGCTCAGGGTGCTGGGCAACTTGGTTGCTGGTGAGGACTCTTGCTGGCTTTTACATGGCTGCCTACTCACTGTGTCCTCACATGGTGGAGCGAGATCTCTCAGTCTCTCCCTCTTACAAGGACACCAGTTACTGAATTAGTTCATCTTGATCCAACAATAGGACGTCATCTTAACTTGATTACATCTGCAAGACCCTATTTCCAAATAAGATCACATTCACAGGCTCTGGGGTTTAGGACTTTTGGGGGGAACACAAAAAGCCCCTGTACAGATGCCCTGGCAGGCGATGAGAGTTTTAAGAACACATGAGCAATTAGAATACCATCTTTCTTTCATTAACACGGTCTCCTGCCCCTGCTGCGGTGGAAGTGATAACAGTGAGCACGCTGAGAACATCAGGTGTCACCTTGCCCGCCCTCCAAGAGCTGGGTGAGCAGGAAAGAAGACCGGGGGCATGGATAATTCACAGCCTGGACCAGTGGTCTCTGAATAACATCCGGGACTCTTTGTCTCATCTTTACATGTTTACTGCTGTCTGAAGCTCCCTAGCAGTTTATGCCTCTGTGTACGTCCACAAAGCACTGGGGCCGTTTGCAGGAAGGTCTTCTTCTAAAGAAGTGTCGGGCTACCCAGGGCAACTTAGAAACTGGAAATTTATACAGCCTTCCACCTGTGCCTCTTACCCTAGAACGGAGCCAGAAAGATACTCACCTTTCCAAATGCAAGTGGAGACACTGTCCCTGATGCATATATAATGACCTGCGGCCACCTCCACCTGGTCTCAGTAAGAGCTGAGAGCTCTATTTCCAGCTAGCTTCAGGCAGCCTTGGGCGTGCTACCAGCCTGGGAGTCCAGCACGAAGGGCCCCATAAGTTGGCAAGGCGGGCACGGGTGGCCTGGAGGTGTGCTCAAGGTCTCAGTCGTTAAGTGGAGAACCCCACACGACATCATCCCTGGTGGTAGAGCACCAGCCGGACACCGCTGTCTCTCTAGGGTTACAAATTCCCAAGCCCTTTCCAAACCCAGGCTATGTCGAGCCTCTGCCGAGGTCCTGCTTGCCTTACCTTGACTTTGTTTCTCAGACACTTGTTTTGGCTTCCTCCCTCCTTGGAGGACACCCTGCTCCACCTGGCCTCTTCAGTCTCTGCATATTTTATAAAGATTGTGGCAAAATATACTTAGGATAAAATTGACCATCTTCCCCATTTTTAAGTACACGGTTCAGTGGGATTAGGTGCATTTGTCATGTCCCACAACCGTCCCCACCATCCATCTGCAGAACTCTGCCTCCTCCCCAAATGGAGCTCTGTCCCCGTGAAACACTTACTCGCCAATCCCCTCCCCCAGCCCCTGGCACCACCATCTACTTCCTGTCTCTCTGCATTTCCCTGCTCTGGGGAACCCATACACGTGACATCCTACAGTATTTGTCTTTCTGTGTCTGGCTGATGTCACTCAGCATCATGTCCTCACGGTTCGTCCACGTCATTAGCAGGTGTCAGAGTGTCATGCCTTTTTAAGGCTGAACCCTATTCCATTGTGCGAATGGACCCCATTTTCTTTACCCATTCATCCATTGGTGGGCGCTTGGGCTGGCACCTGCCTTTTGGCCATCGTGAGTCACGCTGGTCGGAACATGGGTGTGCAAGTATGTCGTCAACACCCTGCCTTTCGTTTCCTTTGGGTATATACTGGGAGGCATAGTGGCTGGATCATACGGTGATGCTAGGTTTCGCTTTTCAAGCACCCGCCATACTGTTTCCCACAGTGGCTGCACCCGCTTGCGTCCGCACCAGCAGTGCACGAGGGATCCCTGTTCTCCACATCCTCGCCGACACTTCTGTGTTTTTCACAGCCATCCCGATGGGTGTGAAGTGGTCTGCGCTTTCGACTCTTTCCTTCCTGCGAACCAGGGAGCAAAGCCACAAGGAGGACCTGAACTTCGTACTCATGGAAGCCCTGTAGCATGCTCTTTCTGAGCCGCCGCTCCCCGCCTTAGAGACGTGCTCTCATCTGTCAGAGTCTTAGTGGGCGAGGGGTGGTCAGCCATCTAGAGAAACAGACATAGAAATCAGTATGGCTATCTTCTTGACCTCCAAAGTTGTATTTTCAGACGTCTGCCATTCCCCACTGTCAATTAGCTTCCATTCCATTAGACAACAGTGTGCCATACAGAATGTGCGGGGCCGAGCCTGCAGCTGCTTTAGAAGGAAGGTGAAGAGTGTGCGTGGCCGGTGTGGGGAGCACGTGCCTTTCCCGGGGCTGCCGTGACAGCACCCCGACCAAGGGGCTTCAGACAATGGTATTCTCCCGCGGTTCTGGAAGTTGGAGCCCTGGAATGAAGGTGTTTGCAGGGCTGTGGTCCCACAGTAGCTCCCGAGAGAAGGATCTGTTCTGACCGTCTGTCCTGGCTTCAGGTCACCTCATGTGGTTCCTAGAGTCCTCTAAGACAACATTGGCATCTCTCTCCAACACCTTTGGAGTGTCCAGGGGGTGGGGATGGGGCATCGTCCTGATCACCGACGTCACCGTTGCATTTAGTCCTGAGACGCATGCATTTGCCCAACACCGCTAACTGCTCTTATGCCCTTCTCTGTCCCCAGGACGTGGACCCTTTGTGGAACACCCGAGTACCTGGCCCCTGAAGTTATCCAGAGCAAAGGCCACGGGAGAGCCGTGGACTGGTGGGCGCTCGGCATCCTGATATTTGAGATGCACTCGGGGTGAGTAGGGCTCCCGTGGAGAATCAACACATACTCTCCGGTACTTCCCTTCCCTGCTTCTAGAACAGTGCTTTTTGGTGGCAAATACCATGATGTCCTCCCGTGCCAGTTTCCCCATGCCAACATGGCAACGGGGACCCACAGTTAAGTGTGCTTTCATAAGAGCAAAAGCACATGGGAAGCACCAGCATTTGGGACCTTCTCCTGTTTAAGTATCCCTGTCTCCCATGAATATAATATTCAGTCTTCTGCATGGACTCTTTCGGAGCAAGGCAGAGAGCTAAGGCAATGACCGTACATGTTGGATAAAGATAAATAAATCGCATACGGTTTAGGACTTTATGAATGAGTTGCATGCCAGGAAGGAGAGTGTGCGCCCATACTTGCTTGTCATGAGGCTTGCAAGGTTCCATTTTCCCCGCATCCAGATACCAGAGGTGTTGAACAGGTACCGAGGTATCACCGTGAGTGAATACTCTAGGCTCGCGGAGGCACGAGACAGGTGTGATGTTCCTCTACCAGAAATGTAAAGCAAGCATCCCCCGCTTAGAAATCATAGACATGGGGATTCCTCCTGGTCCTACAGAGGACCTCTTCTGTGATGGTGTAGCTGACAGGCAGCTGGTCTGTGAGGTGCCCGGACACTGGCCCGGGGGGGGCCCTCGCACGTGCGGCCCCTCTACCTCCTTCCACCCTCCCTGCCCCGTCCTTTGTCCTCCTTCTTCGGGCCTGTTTCCTGCTGGGGAGCTTGGCAGATGCTCAGAGGTTACTCCCAGTTGAACCCCAAGCCCGATGCAGTTCCACAACTGATTCCCTGCAGGGCAGGTCTAGAGCTTTTTGCCTGGAAACCTTCCCTTTCAGTTGGAAAGAATGACGGAAAAGAGGTGGATTTCTGCACTGAGGGTGTGGCCAGAGTGGAGTCTTGTGAAAACCTGTATTTATTTGTCTGCATGTCTATTACCTATTTATCAACTATCTACCCGTGTATCTATCATCTATGTGCGTGTCCTCTCATCACTTACCTCTCTTTATCGGTCTATCCTATCCATCCATCACCTGTCCATCCATTTGTCTATCAATCCATCTATCCATCCATCACCTGTCCATTCTACCTACCTGTCTTTCCATCCATCCATCCGTCCGTCCGTCTGTCCGTCCATCCATCCATCCATCCATCATATCTGTCAATCTCTCCATCCATCCATTCATCCATCCATCCGTCCATCCATCTGTCCATCCATCC